GCCATGCAATAACATTGCCGGTGTGATGGAAAGCATCAAAGATTGATGGAGTGATGGTGATACTGACGGGATGAACGACGACTGAACGCATGTGTTTGATGGAGTGGGGCAATGATTGACGCATGACCGGGTCAACGATATACGCGTGATGGAAAGCGCAACGCAACAATACGGAATGCATGCCAGATTGAATGAACAAAACGGATTGGTGTATTGGAGGTGACGGTGACAATAATGGAGTGAACGATGTAGTGAATGACTGATGCAATGCATACTGGAGTGCGCGGCCACGTAAACGTGTGCGTACCGAAAGGCATGATGAAGTGAATGACGGAATGACTCACCAAGTAAATGACGGAACAAACGAAGGTTTTCGAAAAGAATCACGGCAAACTGTGTGTCAAGGGACGAAATGCCTGATGGAATGCTCCCCGGAAAACATGGAGCATATATGACGACATGAATAACGAGGTGAAGGATGGAATGCACGAGGGATATTCCAAGGGCCTTCACGGCGTGGGTATGATTCGCGAAAGTCACGGATTCGCAATGCGTGCATGACGGAATGCTTGAAGTGAGGCGATGACCAACAAAATGAATGACGGATTGAATGATGCAATACGTGATGGAACGTGCAACAGGATAGAACGGAGTACCTGAACGATTCTTGGAATGACATTCACACACGGAATAACAAAATGATAGGGGGTGACGGTGAGAATGATGGAATGACGGAGTGAGTGATGGAGTGAATGATGGAATATGATGGAATGCATACAGCAGTGTGCGACGGAGTAACGCCGCGTGTGACGGAAAGCATGATGGAGTGAATGACCGAAAGGCTCACGGACATTCAATTCATGGGTGAGGGGAAGAACGACGGAATGAACGACCGACTTACCGAATGTGTTTGATCCAGTGCGCGGCCGACTTACGGAGGCAAACACTGCACAAACGATGGTGTGCGGTACGGAGTTCGGCAAATTTGACGGAATGAAGCTGAATGAATGACTAATGATGGTGTATACCGACGACATGGGTTACGGTATGGCTGATGTAATACCTGACAGTGTGCTGGCGAATGACGGACGCATATAGTACACAATGCAGGAGTGAGCGACGTAGTCGAAGAGAACACGACAGAGAGACTGATGGAGCGAACGACGCCGACGGGGGATGCAGTAAGTGTGGACTCACTGATCGACACAAACAACACAAACGGATAACGGAATACATGACGGCATGAAGGCGGGTATGATGGCGGGTATGAAGCCAATGATGAGTTCACGAATGGAATGCATCGACGATTTTATCCTTCATTGGTGATTGATGGCACGCACAGTCTCATAGAAACTCGATGAACCAGGAAATACCAGACGTGAGCTTGCGCTGCCGTCTCGAACTGGTGCACACAACTGAATACTCAACTGATGCATCAAGCCTTTCCAACAGTTTCCACAAATCTTCGAGGCCCTGCAGCTCGACTTCCTTCAAAGTACGCCCGTCCATCCCCCTTGCTCCAAAGCCATCCGCCGGTTGCAGTTAATTATCTGAACTTTGTTCAATCTCATGGCTTTACGGTCTTCGGCGGCTGGGAACCGACAACATTTGCGATCGCTGCATTGCACTGTGATGTTTCTGCTCTGCTGGCCTTCGCTCCGAGCTGCTTGCTACCGAAGCACATGCACGCACATGCAACTGACAGCACAAGATGCATTCGCTACTATTCCCAAGACATGTCCAACAAGATCGGGCGCCTCGTCTTTTTCTTCCAAATCGTTCAGTGTCAACAGCTCCTGGAAAGTTTGCTACTTGGATTCGCCTTCCCAGCTGTGACACATGCACACCATCATGTTTGCCGTCGGAAATGCATGCAGCAACCCAATGTTGCTTTTTCCTCGGGGCACTCTCAAAACTCTTCGGCTACGTCAACGCTAGCAGCGCATCCAAAGCAGCCACGGAGGACGGGTCGTCGACGCGATAGTCACCTCCGGGTGTCGAAGGCATTTAAGTGACTGAGCTTTTGTTGCGGGCAAGGTAGTGGGTGCTCCAAATTGCAAAGGCGGCTAGTGGGGAAATTGAACTTGTCGGGTCCTCTTCTGCCACAAAAGATTGGGGAGCTCCAGTTTACGGGAGAAGTTGCTTTGTGGCAAGTTATTGGGCTCGGCGCACACGCCGAAACAAAATCCATTGGCTCTGCGCGAAAGGACAGGACTACTCAACCAAGTGGCCGGGGAACCGGAGCCCGGCGACCGACTGGACCAGACGGGAATTTTGCCAGGGACCAGACGGAAATTTTGCCAGGGCACCCGGTGTCCCGAAGCTCCACGAAACCAACCGCGGGCCCAGCAGAAAAAAGGAAAGCAAAAGCCGCAAGCAGCATGTCTTGCAGGAGAGCAAGCAGCGGGAGAAAAGCGAAAGCAAAAGCGGCGACGCAGCACGTATCAGAAAGACGGAACGCACGTTGCAGGAAGCAAGGGTCAACGACAAGACAGCAGCGCAAGACAAGCACGAAAAAGCTGCAGCAGCCATGCAAGACAGAAAAGGCCGCCAACCAAGCAACACCAAAGCCATCTTTCAACAAAAACCTCCCACCTTCATCTTCATTGACCGTGACGCTGACATAATCGTGGTGCTCAAACGCCCGCTGCCTGAGGCAGACTTCGCTGCGTGTGATCACCAACGGCAGCGCAAAGCTACCATCGGGTGTCAAAAATTCCCATAGCTTCCGTCGCCGCACCGGTCCCGGAGCCGTGGCCGTGCGCAGCCACTCGACCATGGCAGACTCGAGCCTCCCTTTGTGGCTCTGTCTGGTGAAGGCAGATAACACCTGACCGATTTTGCACGTCTGCGGGTCGAGGCCCATGTCGGTGATTTCGTCCAATAGCACATCTTGCTTGCGCAGCCGGAACCACTGCATCCTGGAAGCTCCGGTATGGCACGCCACGACAAGCCGCACGCATCGAGAGTCCACTAACCGCACGATGGTCAAATCCAAAGTCCCTGACCCGCGGGGAACCGATGCACCGCTGGGAAAGACCACATCACCATGATGCAAGATGCGCAGTTCTTCAGACGCAAAGTAGGCCGAGAGACATAAAGCCCACGGGGTGTCAACTGGTGCGTCGAATTCCCGCAAAATGGACCCATCCAATCTTCGAACCAGGCAGCGGCGCATCATCATTATGGCTCTGCAGATGGGCACAGCTTAAGTGTAAACTGCCTGAGGTTGTCTACACGACACTGTCTCGATGCTGGTCGTATGGTCCGGATGCTGTCAGAACTTTATTTTCTGTCGAGCCTGAACAACCTATCCCGGCAAGCAAGACATGCCAAGCAAAAGATGACTCGGCAGACCGCTTTACATGCTCTTCTGACGGAAGGACTCACGACATGGGCATCTCCTCATAGAGGACCAAGAGCTTCATGTCCGCGTTCTTGAGATCGCTTTCCAGCTTGGCCTTCTCCTTTTCAATGGAGGCGACGGCCATGTTGAAGGTGTCAATGACCTGAAGATCACGACCACTGCAGCAGCATGTAGCAGCCACGGGGATGCCAACATGCTTTCGGCTGAGTTCCGTGCCTGCCGCACATGCTCTTCGAGCTGGCCCTTGTCGTGTCGAAGCCTCGCTTGAGACTCGGTGGCAACGGCCTGCCAGGCTGTACAAAGAATCGCATCCGAAAAGGGATCCTACATAAGCATAAGCCCTGTAGGCGCCTCGGACAGGGCGTCCCGCTTCCCAGACTTGTCCTGCCAGTGTTTCAGCTGCAGGAGTCTGTGAACTTCGTCCAACATATCCTGCCCTCCCCTGCCCCTGCCCACATAGTGGTCTGCCAACAGAAACACAATGTCCCTCAGTCCCAAATCAGAGGTTTCCTCAAAGACTGGACCTGGACTGTCTGCAGTTCTGCCAGCGAACGCGATGCAGATGGACAACCGCATGGATCTGACTAGGGCCGGAAACATGCATCCAGCATCAGAACCGGCACGAAGCACGATTCTCAGACACCTCCCTGGAGCCATGGCCCTCAGACCCCGGGCCCCAGCCTCGAGAAGCGACGCGCGCCTCAGCACGAGCTCGGTTTCGAGCTAAGGTCTTACGGGTGTCCGGGCTTGGGATTGAGGCTCCACGGTTAGGTCAGGAACTTGCGGTTTGGTTGACGGATTGCGGTCCATCATCTGGGTCCACGGTATGTCTACGGCTCAGTGATTCAACATTGACCCGTCGTCACGTTCCACTACATCTCCTACAAAAACTGTCATACTCGTTTGCAACCGGCAGCAGCACAATCAGATTATTCACGCTGGTCGGTGCCATCAGTCTCCGATGGCTTCTCCTTATCATCGCCATATTCATCACCAGTGCTACCGCCCTCTTGGTCATCAGCGTCTGGCGTCAGACCTGTCATCAGACCTGATGTTCCTCTTCATTGCTTTCAACAATGTCTACTTCTACATGATCGAAACGTGAACGATGATGATGATGATGGTGATGACGATGCTGATGATGCTGCTGGTGATGATGATGATGATGATGGTGATGATGCGACTGATGGCGCTGCTGATGCTGCATGTGGTGACATTGATGGTGATGACCATGATGAGCCTGATGATGATCATGATGAATATGATGACCGTGATGACCATGATCACCACAGTTGTAACCGCTGTCAACGCTGTTGTTATCCTCCGCGTCGCCGTCATCGTCATCATCGTTGCAAACATCGCCCCGCTGTGGCAGCGGCAGAGTTAGGCGACCCACACGCCGGGCGGCAAGCCTGGGCTTGAGCAGCTGACGGACGAACCGCTGGAAAGGGCAACCGTTCTGGATGCGTGTTCTAACACAGCAACCTCTGAAGGAAGCGCCGTCGGTTATCCACATGGCCTGACCCTCTTCCATGATTTTGTCTCTTTTCCACCTTGTAGATCTTCAAACCTCCCCTGAAGCCTTATCGAACCCTTCGGCCGCCCGGCGCTGCACGGCCAGAAAGCGGGGCCCCTGGTCGCACGCCGACGGCCTTCGAGGCAGCTGCGGCTTGCAGACTAGCATACCGCACTGCAAGCGGTTGCCATCATTATGATGCTTAGAACTGCAATTCTTTCGTTGATGATAACTGCTAGTCTCATATCAACAATAACTTTAGTTTGAATAAGGCGACACATGATAATCATCATCTGCAAGTGTGGTGCCAGCCTTGCTCTTCTTGGCCTGCGCGACACTGGACTTCCGACCTCAAGATCCAGGTGACTTTTTGGTCCGGATCTCCTGCTTAGCCAAGACTCTCTAGTAGGGTACCCGACAAAAAACGCATCATGTCACATGTCGGCGGTCAAACCCTAGAGCAGTGATGGTTGATCCGGGCATCGACTTGACGCTTTTCCTAGTTGTTTGCGCAGAAGCCCTGCCGCATTCTTGGGGTTCGAAAGCCTCCGCACAACACGTGCATTAAAGGTGAAATGTAGCGGATTCAGGGCATGCAGTGATGTGCACGGAACCCTGAAACTACCCAACCAAAGCCTTAGGGCTCCGCCTTCGGCGTCCGCCTCTGTGGCCCCGCCCTCCTCATCTTCACCTCTGCTGGTACCAGGATGCAGATGCACGTTCTCAGAACCTGGTGCAACCCCATGAAGCCGGCAGACAACCAGGGGGCTCTGCCCTAGACCGTTAAAAAACACCTAAACCCCTGCACCCCTACACCCCCAAACCCTACACCCCTGAAGCCTCATAACCCTGTAGGGAGAGCTTGTTACGCCAAAAACCCATAGCCAGGCCTTCCTCCTCCTCGATCTCCGCGTAGACCTCCTCCTCCTCTGCCTCCTCGAAAAAGGTTCAGACTAGGGCTTCTAGAGGGGTTTAGATCTTTGGGGGTTTAGGGTCTAGGCTTTTTTCGCGCACGAGCCCGGGGTTTATCGACGGAAGAAGGCTCTTTCGAATCGTCATGTCGGGACAGGGTCCGGCTTCTCTTTAGCTCTTGCTGCCCATGCTTGCTACTCAAAAACCCGAGAACACATCCTAGAGGCCAAATTAGCAGCATTCCTACTCTTATACTCTTGTAGAACTGTATTACAGGGTGTGGCTTCGGTTCCCCTCCTCCTCTTCTTGGAAGTCCTCGGCCTCCTCCGCAGCCGGAGCAGCAGCCTCCTGACAAGGAGCATCACAAGGGGGATTCCGGGCCAGGAAGGATTAGATACAGCACTTCTAGCATGCTTTAGGCCAAGATGTCCCCAGAACACGCAACTTCGGAGACTTCGCAGGGGACGTTGCTCCTCCGGCTTCTCGCCCCTCAAGTGGCTGGCAAAGGCCTTGCGAAGGCTGTAGTGGGCAGCTTGTTGCAAAGACCACTGACCACTGAAATCTGCTTCACGGGGTGGTCGAGTCTTGAACTGTGCAAAGCGTTGAATTCCAGAATCACTGGCCCTCTCGACGATCCTGATATCGACTGCTCCATACTGCCCTCAATCTGCGCATGCTTCAGTCACAGCCGGGCCTGGATGTCAGCGTCGCTGAACTCAAAGCGCTTCTCCGGGTACTCCGGCGGCGCACCTTTCGATGCCCGACACTCCATTCAAGCCTTTCATTAAACCTATCATGGAGAATCTTGCTGATCAATTTAAGGGAACACTTCTCGGGTTGAAACGCATGCTCCCTGCTTGAAGCCCGTTCGATTCTTATGAGGCACCTGGTGGGTTGTCCACGATGCCGGCGACCCAGTCCGTCTTCTTGCCTGCTATGGGACTCAGGGCTTGGATTTTTCGGCCCACGAACCCCAAAGCATATCGATGTGTTGCTACTTGTAGTACTCGACGGTATTTCAAGCACACATCATGTTAAGAAACGAGTACAGCAACGTCAACCGAACGAGACCGTGAGGGCAAGTTGGGTTCTGATGAACCAGATACAGTAGGATGCTAAGTTGAGGGACTGTCTGCTTTTGCCGGCGGTTAGATTCCGGTTAGATGCTCAGTGACAACTGATCTTCGAGGTTTTGTGCAGTAAACAATGCAGGATTCATGGTCGGCTGATTATGATGGTTGACAGATGTTCTACAGCCACCTTGGCGGCAGCATCCTCCATATGGAGTGGGTAGGCCATCTCATACTGAGTCATACTGGCACTCAAGGTCTCTACCACTGCCACGGGCTCACGTGCATCACGCGGCGAACTCCAGGCTGAGAATCGTCATCGGTCGCTGCATCACACGTTCGGACGCGGAAGGCCAATGGGATAGCGACAGCTTCCTGTGACTGGGCCGCAATCACCAAAAATACCAAGCGCAGAACAAAGGTGGATCCGAACCCCCCAGCAGCCCCGGACTCTGCCTAGCTGCTCGTCGATCTCCGCCAATGCCATGAGGTCCCTCTCCACCTGCGGCGCGATGCTGTCCAACAGACATACTGACTTTACCAAACGAGGATGCCATCTAACAACATGAACGAAGATGTCGAAACAAATCAAGTTGCAGTGATACTCTGATAACATAGTTCATGTTAGTCATCGTCGTAACCGTAGCAGTGGCAGCAGCAGGACCGCAGCTGCTACCGCTCTGTTCCACTCACCGTCACCTTCTTGACAAGCCCGGTTCAGGTTCCAGCTTGAGTTTTCAGGAGTTACTGAATTTCACGAGCCTCGGCGCGGACCTGTTGGCGGAAATCACGCAAGGCCAGTACCTGCGGCAACTTCAAGGTTCTAGAACGGCGCTGCCGAAAGAACTCAGATAGATCAAAGATCTTTTCAGACCGCTCTGAAATATCCAAACTCCCACTTAACTCCGGCGATCGGGTCGTTCTGACATCGACTGGGGTGTAGTGAGAAAGAGCTTTATGAACCCAAGTGGATGAAAGCGGGCCTGTGGGGGCTTTCTTGGCTGGCGGTTAGTGGCCCTGTTCACCTGCTTCGTCAGTGTCCATGCGTTATGCCGTTATGCTAGCTTGCATCCCAGATGGACCAGGACACTCAGTATGGGGCCGAGAAAACACAGCCGCCACAAGTTTACAAAGTCTGGTACCGTGCGGCGACTGACTTTATGCATTTCTGAAGAATCAGCTCGCCCTGTATCATGAAGACTCATGAAGACCCATCATGCCACGGGCACCCTCTGATTGAACTCAGTCTTGATTGCATGGATTGACTCCTGCATGCAGGGCAAGCGAGGGCAAGCCGCTCTGGCACCTTGCTTGGTCTTTCCACTCCACCCGCAACATCCCTGTCTCCTCCAGCAAGAACATCTGGCGCCGCTTTTTCTCAGCGTTCATGCGCTGGTTCTCCGGCACCTGTGCAGCTCAGCTTAAAAGGGAAGGCACACTGCATCCCTCCTGCATGTTCTCAAGACACCTTTCCCGAGCCCCATCCTCTCAAATTCTAAAACAAAGAACTAAATGTGCGTGTTCTGGGATGCCTTTCCACTCCAAGTATTCCAAGACCCTCGGAGACACCGTGGGTCTGAAATTCGCCCAGAACCACTCGCCAGCCTGATAGTCCTCGCTGGTCTTCAGCATGTAGTTGCCCAGAGTCGCCTGCAGCTTGAACCGAAAGCTGCTGCTTGCAACGGCCAGGCAACACGACACGCAACTGCCTCTGCGTTTGCGATGGCTTCAACGTCCTCAGGGGCCTGCGCTCTGCGAAAACAGCTGGTAAAGATGCATGCCGACGTCTTTCATGTGACAAGGAAACAGGCTTCCGCAGCTGTGCATAGTAGCCGCAATTACATTTGATCCAAGCGAAGTTTCGATGTTCCTCGTACTGCTCGTTTGGCTTGGCACGCTCCAGCTCCTGACACGGTTTGGCCAGTTGGTGTATGCTGAAGGGACAGGCCTGCATCCGACACAGCTCAAGCAATGCAGACATCGGTCACGAGGGACCAGCCCAGTTTGACTTCGACCTCTATACAACCTCTGCGCATAAGATGGGATAATGGGCTGTTGATGAGGGAAGCTATCGACATGTGCCGAGGCATAGAGCGGCGCAGGCTCTCCTGGATCTGCGCCTTGCGCTGCAACCTGCGCTGGAGCCGGGACCGGGCATGTCCAGTGAAGGCTTCGTCTTAGCGGCCCGTTCGGCACAAAAGAGCCCAGAGCCTCTTCGTCAGGGGCCTTTACCACCAAAGCAAAGCGCTCCAGTGAATCAGAGCCAGGCAGGGCGAGAAAGCCGAGAAGCCCACAGAAAATCGCGTCAATGCCGTTTTCCAGTGATCCAGAGCCCCGCTGGCTGCTTCTCCAGCGCACAGCAGTAAGAGCTCTGGCGGCTGCTTCTTCAGCGCCAGCCACGCTCGCAAAACTGAAGGAACATAGTTTGACCCACGAGCTATTTACTGTGCACTTTGCAGATTGCCGAGGCTGGCAGCGGTAATGACGCGAGTCGTCGTCATCATCGTCATCATCATCATCATCACCATCACCGTCACTATCAGCCACATCACCATCAGCATCATTACAACCCTCGTCGGAGCCAGTAGCTAGCAGTTAGCAGTCATCTAAATCATCATTACAAAGCTTGGGGCAAACCATATATAGCATAATATGTATATGTGCTCTATATATAGTACATATGTCTATATACAATATGTATATGTATATGCATATGTATATAATATACATACATACATACATACATACATACATACATACATACATACATACATACATACATACATACATACACACATATATATATATATACATATGTTATATATGGCTTATGACACGATGTTTCCGGCCTCTGCTGGCGTCGGAGCTCCCGCTGCTCAGCGCCTGGCGGCATCTACACTCCCACCTTTCCGAAGCATCCTCAAAGTCCTTAGAGCCTTAGATAACTGTAGCTACAAGCACCACATACCCCCCATGGTCCCGGCAGACTTATGGTAGGATAGTATATGAGTATATGATACCCAGGATGAGACTTCGCCTGCAGACCCAGGCTGCCCTCTCTGGCCTGACAGCGTGCGTTCGGCGTTCTGCGAACCTGCCGCCCGCTTTGAAGGCACGCAGCTTACAAGGCCACTGCACTGGAAGAACTTCGCTCTGCTGGGCTGCGCAGCTTCAGGACTACTCAACCTCGGTCTTCCTGCACAGCTTCAGTTAGGGGGCTTGCAAAGCCGAGCGCAAAGCCTGACATGTCTGTGACGTCGAAGCCGAACTCGGTCTTGGCGCCTGCAAAGGAGGTACAATCTAAATGGCTTTGCCGTTGTGCGCAGCAGCTACGGTGCGAAAGCTCCCATCCACTGGACAGATGTTGCAGGAGGGATGGCTCAATGCGTTCGCGAGCATCCGCAAGGTCACCTTCATAGCCCATGCCCTCATTCTCATCGTCTTCCTCCTGATGTTCACACCCAACAAAAGCTCAGGCTATCGCAGGCTACTCGCAGGCAGATCGGATACTGAAGGTCTCCGGAATGTGTGCTTCCCTGCTCTAGCATTTCCTTTGGCGGTTCAACGTGCGTTCCCTTTGCTTTGTTTGCGACGTCCGTCTTCCCTGTGCCCGAGGGCAAACGAGCATCAACTCCCCGAAACATCGCCAAGGGAGGATGCCATGGCCAAGAGCAAAGAAATCTCCTCCAGGTCCACCTCGCCCTCTGCAGCGAAGATGAGCTCGTGGAGCCTCGCCGACAGATCCGAACGACTACAGGCTAACATAATGGAATATAACATTACATGATCTAATGTCATATCATGTCATATAACGATACAATACAAGACCAGACAAGACAATATAATGAAATCCCCAAACACCTTAAACAATCAGTCCGAACCCTAAACCCTCATGCCAGGTTAGCGCAGACTGCTCTATGCCAGCCTTGCAGCCTGCAAGCAAAAGGGAGCTCTCCCATGTAAGGCAGGACTTGGGGGACAGTAGTCGCCCTCTTTCAGAGGGATGACAAGGGCTAGCCGCTTATCTCCATATACTGGGGGGTCGCAACCCTAGTTGATCTGTCAGGAATCCGTGACCGCAGACATCGGTGTTCACAGATGTTGGCTCGTAGGATATCGAAAATGTTTGAGGCTGGGCTGGGAAAATACACGTTAGGGAACGTTGGGGATACCTTGGCTACATGAAGAAGCTTCAAAGGTAAGCCCCCATGCAGACACCCACCCTCGCAGAGCAGCACGCACAAGGCCCTGGATTGCGGTTTATTGTAGCGGCCTGCCTAAGGTGTTGGGGTCTACTCTGGTCTGGGCAGACAGGTTGTACAAAACGGGATACCATACTAAATTGTGGGTTTGTCATAATATTAATACTCTGACTGGGTAGGGCCTGGGGGAATACTCTGACCCGGACCGGACCTCGCAAGGTTGGTCTGCAACTCGTCGGACATCGTCGCGCAGCGAAAGGTGGAGACGCGGTGGGGCGACTGGAAGCCCAGGACCTGCGGGTTGAAGGAAGTGGGCCTGAAGGGGTTTTAGGGCTTGCAGTTAGGATAAGGGGCTTCTAGGGCTAAGGATGAAAGGTTGATGGGTTTAGGGGTTTAGGCTTTCTGTTTGGTTTTTTGGCGGACATGCTTGTGCCAATGCGCGCGTCAAATTCGCTTGCGGTCTTCAGCATGAAAGCTGGCAGGAAAAAAGGAACAAAATGTCCTTCAGCCTGAAAGCGGCTGGCCTAAATGCGCCGTAGCGCCTGCAGCCAAAAGCGGCTGGTCAAAAAGCCCTGGGTCGACGTCATGCCCTATGGTCTGAGCGTCGCCCACCAGGGTTGAGGGCCGGAAACTTTCATACAAGGACGCCAGGCAGGCGTGTGAGACCCCGAGAAAGCTTCTGGCTCTAAGTCTGCGCCTTCGTAGGTCCGTAGGCAGACCTGGGATCTGGCTAGGTGCTCGGCCAACCTAGCAGTGGTCCAATATTGAGTGCAGCATACTTCGCAAGTAGTCCCATGGACCACTCGTCGCCCTGGAGCGTACTGCCCATGTCGGCGGGACAGGTGCACACAAAGCCGTTGTCGCGTTGCGAATGCCACGTCACAGAGGTGGCAGGGAAACTGAAGCTTCGGACCAGAGCTTGCAGTGACCTCAACATTATCAGCCCTTTCTTGGCGAAGAAGCACCTCCTTCCAGTCCACAAGCTTCCGTGTGGAGCGGCATTGCTTGAGGTAGCGCTTGCAAGCAATACGAAGCTGGCGCTCCTGGCCCTGGAAATGCTGTGAAAGAGCTGTGAGGTCAGCAGGTACCCCGTCGTGGACGAGGGAACGGAGGGCGTCAGAAGGAAATACCAGAGCAGCTGCAGCGCATGCTTGCTTAAGCCAGCATCCATCAGCGACAAACCCAGGCCAACTGGACTTCATGTCAGCTCTGAGTACCTGTGCCAATGCCCTGACCTGGTGCACCCTAATCAACTCCTCAACGGAAGGTAGGTCCAGGGCTGACA